AAAAAAAAAAAAGAACGGAATTCTAGGGCAGTGCTGGGGTAGGGTGCTGGCCAAATAGAGGCCCAGGACCAGCTAAAACAATGACAACTGCAACAACAAAATAGCTGGATGTTGTAGTGGGTACCTGTAGTCCCAGTTACTTGGCAGGCTGAGGCAGGAGAATCTCTAGAGCCCAAGAGTTTGAGGTTGCTGCGAGCTATGATGCCATGGCACTCTACCCAGGGTGATAGCTTGCGATTCTCTTTCAAAAAAAAAAAAAGAATGGAATTGTACCCAGGCACGGTGGCTCATGCCTGTAATCCTAGCACTCCCGAGGCTGGTGGATGGGTGGATTGTTTGAGCTCACAAGTTTGAAACCAGTCTAACCAGAGGCAAGACCCTGAAAGTAGAGTCTACTGAAAGTAGAAGGTCTGAGGCAGGAGGATCGCTGTAGCCCAAGGTTGCTGTGACCTGTGACACCACGACACTCAGGGTGACAGCTTAAGGAATTCTAGTAACTTTTAGAAAATCTTTCCATATCTTTTTATTATATAATTAACTATTTTCCTATGTTTTCTTTCAGTACTTTTCACAAATTTATTTATTTAACAGGTAGAGGTTGTCTTTTGACTCACTCAGGGAATTTTGGCATATGGTACAGATCTAATTTTTCCCCCCAACCCTTTGCTTCCAAGAAATCTACTTTTGTATTTTCCAAATGATTAACCAATTGTCCCCAGCCCCATTCTTTCCTTTTTTTAATAAGGTGATTTTTAAAAATCATCTTCATTATTTTGCTACATTCTTAAAACATATAGTTGTTTTCTGCTCCATTGTGCTGATTGGGCTCTTTCCATTATAGGAGTCCGATCTTCTGGTTTGTCGTCTGATAGGGCAAATTCATTCTCCACCTTCATTGTTTATTTTTAAAAAATGTATTAGCTTTTAGGAAGCTTTTTCTTTCAGGTGATCTTAAAAATTATTTTTCCAAATTCTCTCAGAATTCCCAGTGAGATCTATATGAAGAGAATCAACATTATTTTTTTTTTTTTGGCCGGGGCTGGGTTTGAACTTGCCACCTCCAGTATATAGGGCCGGCACCCTACTCCTTGAGCCACTGGCACCACCTGAGAATCAACATCTTTACAGGATTGTATTTTCCTCTCTAGAAACATGAAAGTAGGTCTCTCCATTTAATTATAGACATACTTTAAATAAAAGTTTTTTAATTAAGTTGACTCTCAGGTATTAAAGGACATTTAAAAAAGAAAAACAGTTCAACCATATTCTTGTCATTCTACCAGGAAAACTGAGAATCTTTCTGTTTCCTTTTTCGTTCTTGTCTATACTTGTTACGTGGTTAGTCTTGTAGGCTAGTTACAATTTTACAATCTGAGGGTTTTTTCACTCAATGTCTGGCAAAGATTTCTAGAAGTAAAACTATTAAAAGCTATTTTTTTTTTTTTTAGACAGAATCTTACTATGTCAAGTGCTGTGGTGTCACAGCTCACAGCAACCTCTAACTCTTGGGCTTAAGTGATTCTCTTGCATCAAGCCTCCTAGTAGCTGAGATTATGGGTGCCCGCCACAATACCTGGCTATATTTTGTGTGTGTGTGTGTTGTTGTTATTACAGTTGTCATTATTGTTTAGCAGGCCCAGGTAGGGTGTAAACCCACCAGCCCTGGTGTATGTGGCTGGTGCCCTAACCGTTAAGCTATAGGCACCAAGCCTATTAAAGGCTATTTTGAATATAACCTTTAGCTTCTCTCATATTGTGTTCGGTAGCATATCTGTCTCTCCCAACTGCAAGTTACATGAGGGGAGCCATGCACCTTCTCCGCCCTTGCTTGGTGTTTACTTCCTGAGTGAACCTGATCGTCCTGGAGCAGTCAGCCTGAGGGGGAGGTCATGTCACTTTGGCAGAAGCATTCAGACTTGGGATTTTTGGACCATTTATGGTCTTGTCTACAGAGCCTACAAAGTGTATATTGGGGAACCAGAAACAAATGGTGATACTGACACTAATTTTTCCTTCATTGAAAAGCTCTGGTCAGTGATGCCATCCATGATGACTTGCAAGATGACTCCCTCTACCTTCCTCCCTGCCATGCTGATGCGGCCAAGCCTGAAGATGTGTATAAATTTGAAGATCGTATCCTTCTGTGGTAGAAAAAGCTGCCTTATTTAACAAGTAGGGATGTGTTTTGTACATGAGTGGCACAACCAGGATCTCTGAAGGGTGTGTGCGGTCCTGTGACATTCGCAAAAGCTACATCCAGACCTTTGCAATTGCCCCAGTTCTATTGCCAGGTCAACGAGGCTTCCTCACTAGCTGATAATCCCATTCTGGAGCAAGATGTGAATTGTCTACAGCTTAGATCAGGAGGTCATTCTCCACAAATAGTCATAATATTACTTTTGAGTTGGTCAGTGCCCAGAGTCAGGCAGAGACCACTTTTGTAAAAGGAAGGGTTGGAATTTCACTACTTGATGGGTCAGATAGAAAATCCCTGCAATGGCTTTATGTTGAGAATGAAGGCAGGGAACCAGCTCTGGGTTGGGAGTTTGAAAACTGGGTTTCCTACTGTGCTCTGAGATGATCTGCCCTGTGTGATTGGAACCTCAGTTTCCTCTATGTAAAATGAGGCTGCCATGGCATAATCTAGCCAGTTGGCTGTTTCCCTTTTGCTTGGATTGTGCTCTTGACCTGTAACTAGTTCTTTCTCCTGTGGAGTATGAAGCTCTTCAGAGCCCATCTGAAGCTTTCAGGAACGTCACATCAGAAGACATACTGAAGATGATTGAAGAGAACAGGTACCACCACTTGGGCAGATGGGGACTCTGGGAAGTCATATTGGGACACAGTCATAGACACTAAGCAGGACTTTTGGGTGTCAGTCAGTGAAGAGATATGTCTGTTCAGCATTTGAATGTGAATGAACCAGTGTTTTCTTGAATGTTTGGGCTTCCCAGAGCTGTGGGTGGCATTTAAGGGAGAGAGTTGGCCTCTGAGTGCCTGGGACCTGCAACTGGGCAGAGGATGGTGAGGCCTTTCGCAGGGGTCCTCAACCTTTTTAAACAGGGGACCAGTTCACTGTCCCTCAGACTGTTGGAGAGCCGGACTGTGGGCCCCATGACAAGTCGGCTGCTAAGCAGGACAGGCAGTGGTGGTAAAAACACCTGGTGGGCTTGATAAATGTCCTCGGCGGGTTGCATGTGGCCTGCGGGCTGTAGTTTGAGGACACCTGCCTTAGAGTCTGGGGCTGGGACTCAGAGCCAGCCTGTACCATGCTAATGCTGATTGTCACTGGCCAGGCTGAAATACTGGCCTGGGAATGGTGTCCAAAAAAGTGATGGTTTTTGTGTAATGTGCTAGGTCAGCTTTTCTATTTTATGTAATTCAGAGATTATTTCCTCTATTCCCCTTTTGCCATTAATGTAGCTTTTCTTTCATGATGGTAGGCTTTTTTGCTTTCAAATCTTTTTTTTTTTTTTTTTTTT